TAGTATATATGGCAGCACAGTGACTGGTTGGTAGAGCTCTTTCCTCTCAGCAAGAAGGTCACCGGATTGAATCCCGGCCAGAGGACCTTTCTGGGTAGAGTTTGCGTGTTCTCTCCATGCATGTGTGGGTTTTCTCATGGGTACTCCAGCTTCCTCCCACAGACCTAAAACATTACTGTTAGGTTAATTGGTAGCCTGGCCACTGCCTTCCTGTGCAGTTTCACTCGATTCTAATCTCCCTTCTCTGCTCCATCTAGGCTGTCTCCCAGGAGTGTGAGGGTGTACTCCACCCCTCGCACAGTGACCCCTGTGACTCTGAAAGGAAGGAATGGGTACAGATAATGGATGGATGGATGGATGGATGGATGGATGGATGGATGGATGGATGGATGGATGGAAAGACACAAGTCCACAAAAGAACAGCATGATTTATTGCATCCCAGGAGAAACAGTATTTAAATTTATTTACCAAGGAGTAAAACCTTTTTTCCATCCTTTTCCCCCCAGGGCTTTTGTTTGTTAACCCACTGTGATTTAAATAAACATCCAGGCATTGAAAATATTCTCCTTGACTCATTTCAGTGTCGTGTTCAGTTTAAATTTTTTTATGCATGATTTTAAAAATAAATATATAATAGTGGGGGGAAAACAACTTTATTCAAACATTAGGTAAGTTTAAGCTGATTCAAACCAAACAAAATGTGAAAATATGATTGTGTGGAGCYGTAAAGGACACGTTAGACACTGACTTCTGAAAGCCACAGCTGGTTGAGCTCATTCAGCCTCGCAGCAGCTGTCAACAAAGATAAGCAGCTCTTTTATGCCTGTTCAAATGTGCGTTTTCCTACCTCAGACATGCACAAATCCAATTATGTCCTAATTGAGTGTTACAAGGCTCATTGATTATGACAGAGGCAGCGGAGCAGACTGAGTGGTAGAAAAATATCCCCAATAATTAGCTTGACTCAGGAGATGGTTAGGAGCCATGATTTAATACCCAGGCAATATTTTTGCACTACTGCTCGATTTGAATTGATTTTAGCAACACGAAAATGTTAATTATTACGCAGCACAAAATGTATAATACCACAATAACCTAAATATTAATTCAAAAATGTGTTTCATTGTTGATGTAATAAACATCCTGTTTGTGAATAGCTGTATTAGAAGTCTGTACAGTTTCATGTTTTTTTAGAACTGAACGAGTCAACAAGTTATTATTTTCCACATAAATGTGCTGGTTTATAATCACAAAACTGTGCTCAAATTTAAACATGTGCAGCACTGATTAAATGTCTTATTAATTTTTTTCATTGTTTCATAACTGTATTTAGATGTGTGTGTCCTTTGGCATCTATCAAATGGTGATGGAGCACCTCTTACACCCATACTTCCCACAACATAGTCTGATGAATACTGCATATGTGGCAGAAAAATTTAATAATTTAAAAATCAGAATTGAGCATTTAGACCTGCTGTGTAAACTTTGCTTAATATCAAATCTCCTTTTCAAACGAAACACAAGTCTATTATTTTCTAATAAAAGCAGAAGTTTATTGTAGTCGTCGTGAATTGAGAACCTGTCCTGTCAGAGTTTCAGGATGATCTGAACCCAAGAATGCCGACTCAGCACAGGGAGCTCAAGGACAAACTTAGACTTTATTTAAACAGAAAACAAAGTTGACAAAGCAGCACAAATCACAGTACCTGAGGGAGACAGAGGAAAACCAGTCGGGGCATGTGAAATACTTAATGCTCCAATGATTACTGAACTGGAACAAAGAGGATATAAAGGCAGAGGAAGACGAGGAACAGCTGCGCTGGATGAAGCAGGACACAGGTGAGAGTGGGTGAAGAGTTGAAGACTGAGCTGAGGGAGAGGGACTGGTGGCAACGAGGAAAACAGGACACTGAAGAAAAAATGAAAACACAAGTAAGTAAACTCATCCTAATCTAAAATAATTTAAACTTAAAAAAAAAACTAATAAAGATCATGAAAAGCATGTACAATTTACAACCTTTAACCCTGCCCACTGACAGCTGGGATAAAACTTATGTCAGCATCACAGTTGTGGGTTTCTTAGTTATTTTGTGACTTTTACTGGTTTCTGATTTGAGTTTTTCTGTAATTTGGAATTAGTTTTTCCCTCTTTCACACAGATTTGTTTTATCAGTTAAACAGCTCTTCTTCCTCTATTTTCTCAACCCAATGATGTTTTTGTGCCTGCATGGCATTGTGGGTCTTTATGTCATTATCCTGAACCCCTTTAACAGTGGGGGTAAAAATGCTGAAACTAAAATTGGAGGTACAAAACCGTAAGCAGCTAAAACTCACACAAGCAACCTAAACTACAATCTTCATCCTAAAAAGCTTTCAGATTAGAAAGGTGTCATGTCTGCAAAACACACAAAGACTGTTTCACAATAACTTTCCCTCAGTCTGCACAGAGCTGTACTTTTATGATGCTTTCCTCACCGTGAGATAGAAGCAGACCAAAGTCCCAACTCTGCTCTGCATGGAGTGTCCTGGAAAAGAAAGAAAACAACTGGAATTGCCCTTGAGATCTCTGTTTATGTTAATCTTCTCCCTGGAGTCTGTAAGGTGCAGAGCCATGACAAGGTAAGATCCTCATTCAGAGCTAATATTTTACAGCCGGCTTGTGTTTAGGAAAATAAGCGTCAGGAATGTTCATGTGATGCACACATTAGTTAAAACAAATATAAAGTTATGCACGCTAAGAGGTTCTTAACTTTGACATTAACCTTTCACGCCTATTTTGCTTCTGCAGCACTCCCACCTCAACARGTCAAGGGTTTCCATATCCACGAATATTGTTTGTTAAAACCACTCTGCTTCTTTCAGTCTGTCATACAGAGCCTATCACATAACTAACCTCAAAAAACTAACAGTTGAGTCGCCACTGAAAGCCAACCAGGTGCTGTTGTGCTCAGACAGAACAGAGGCGCAGGTGACTCAGTTACCTGTCGGGCTCAAAGTGTCTTTGTTCTGGAAGATAAAGCTCCACTTCAAAGGCAGGAAATTTGTCCGAGATGCCCGTTTGAAACCGACCTGGGAGCGAAGCATGTACAGCTGTGGGAAACATGAACACTGTGTTGTGTAAAGCTGAGCACTTTATTCACTGTGGGAACATAAAACACATTAATTTTAACATTATTTTATATGTCAGTGTCAAATTTATTTATATAGCACATTAAAAACAACGAAAGCTGACCAAAGTGCTTTACAGTTCAGTCAAGACTTGAATCAAAAAACAAACGAATAATAGATACCAACACAATGCAAAAACACACTAATATATAAAAAGCTCTAACTGAACCTCCAACTCAGTCTTAATCAAAACCCAAAGAAACGAAATGGGTCTTTAGCAAAGATTTAAAAGCCTCAACTGACCGAGTTTTAAGAGGTAGACTGTTTCACAGCTATGGAGCAGCTATTACAAAAGTCCGTTCACCTCTAGATTTCAGTTTGGATCTTGGAACATCTAAAAGAAACTTATGTACAGTATATATATATATATACTGTA